CACAATCCAACAAATATAAGAGTCAAATTCTTTAAATCAACATAACTAACTTATCACATTTCATAACATAAGTATGCATTTTTGTCACAAATGTATTATGGATCGACCAGGCTAAAGGTTATTCCGACTTGCACAAAAAATTTGAATATAGAAAAAGAAAAATATAAACAAAGCTTCCATTTTTCTTGGCCATTACTAAGTGGAACTAAGAAAAGAACAAGAAAATTTGATATTAAGAAGCTTTTAAACAGTTACCTGTATCAGTCTGAAAGGTGCTCTCAGCCTTTATCTGATTGCTCAAACAAATCCCCATCAGAAAACACCTTCTAAAAAATTCAGAATAAAGCTCAATTTTTTATTTTTTTTTTTCTTGTTATTGTTAGTTCTTAATGCAACAAAATTCAAACCCAACAGCACTTTCTTCACTTCACCTTTAGCAAAAGGGCTCTCTAATACAAACCCAAAAAACAAAACTTTTTCCTTTTCTTCTTTATCTTCTTTTATTTTCCCCAGAACACAGGCACACTGAAACAAGCTTCACTACCAGCACAGATCTAATGTGAAACCTCTCAATTTACTCTCTCTCAGTTAGGTGTTAACCCCCAACCATACAGAGGAGGCTCTTTCTCTCTCTGACTCTCTGATAAAGTTGATGAAAAGTGTGTCTTGATTGCCTAAACAAACAAAATGAACAATAAAAATGCAATCTTTAGTATGGATAAAAAAGGTTCTTTTGGGGATTTTGTATAGGGAGACTTTTCAAGACTTGTGTGGTAAGCAAGATTTGACCGGTCGATCCTCTGTCTGTCTTTTCTAATTGCGTAAAGCTTGTTTATTAGCATACCAAAACACGATTATATATTTTCTATTTAATATAATATATCCAATTGTCCAACGACAGGCCTTGCAAAACAAAAAAGTAATAATAAAATAAATCTTTGCAATCAACGAGATACAATACAGAGACATTGTACACTGCATGTGCAGTAAATGATCATAAATGGACCAACAAGATTATATGACTTTGTTATGTTGTTATGAGGATAATAGACTAATAGTGTTGATGACAGCAATTTTTTTTTTTTCAAGTAAAAACTAGATTAATTCAACCAATTCAAGGAATCGATAGATCCCGAAAAAAGAAAGAGAAAAAAGACTGGAACAGAGTCCGTCCAAAGAAACAAGTCAGACGCCCCTAAAGCTCATTTAGCTAGCTCATGAGAAATTATATTATTTGCTCTAGCAACATGACTACAAGCACCACAATTCAAGGATGATAAAAGATTGATAATATCTTCGAAAACATGTTGCAACGTGTCATTTGGAAGGCACTCAGTAATTCCACGGATGACTGAAAAAGCATCAGTTGCCGGAGTTTGGATCATTAACCCAGATTCCAAAGTACAACGGAGTCCGAACCGTAAAGCTATAACTTCAACAGCTGCCGGGGAAAAGGATCCGAATTTTCGAGATGCAAAGGCGGCCCAACACACTCCCTCTGAGTCACAGATCCACCCTCCTAAGCCAATTGACGCCTCACGTACAAACTGTTGAAGTTATCCCTGCTCGCGTACGCGCCCCCGCGTCCGTACAAGCCCTGGTTCACCGTGCACCAGCCCCGTCCAAGTGCATCGAGCCGCGACCGAACCATTCCAATTGAGACCCGAGCCATTTCCATGGTCCAACTGCACCAAACTGAGCCCAACAGCCACAGCCCCAGCCCGATTCGCTTTACCCTAGCCATTTCCTAGCCCGATCTATTTCCGATCTTTCCAATTCAAGCCGATTTGAGGTAAAATGGCTTGAAACCGACTCCAATGGCTTAGATGAGATTAATGAATAATTATAAAATCGAAAATTTGATGATTTGAGTGATATTTGATTAATCGGGAAATTACGAGCTTAAAGTGATGTTTTTCGATCTCTTAATATGCAAGTGATAAAATGGTAATTATAATTTTATAAATCATGCTTAACTGTCTTGAGGCTTAGATGCGAATTTGAGAATTTTTGGGGTTTGTTTGATAGGCGAACCTATTTTATGTGTGTTTGACCGGTTGACGCTCGATTCTAGTTGAATGGCTTATAGGTTAAATTTGGACTTGATATTTGAACCATAAGTCATGCGTATGATAAGGATGTTAGGTTTTAAATATCATGATTTTTGGATGTTGTTTGATATAGGTTAAAAAAATCGGGACTTTAGTCAAATAATGCGATATTTTAGAAAATTAGCCAGTTGTGATTTTGGCTGCAGTTGTTGGATGTAAAATCTTAATAAATCACATAGAACGTAAGTTTTAAATAGCGGCTTAAAACAAGTTAGGTTTCGGATAACCGGGAAAATTTTGGATCCGGTTTAATCATCTGAACCTTAGTTCCATTAAACCACTTTAGACGTCATATGATTATAAATGAGTCATTGGGTGTCGGGACGTGGTTGGTCAACCGGTTAGTCGCCGACGGGACCATAACCGAGCCTAAAAAGGCTATCGAGGTCGTGGCCTCGAAGCGATTGGAATTTTCCAACCGACGTGCCTTAGCACTTATCCTTAACGCGTTCCGACGTCCATCACACGTGTTCGACCCTCGTCTGACCGTTGGAGCCGAACCACCAAGTGTGTGCCCGTGCACTGAGTCCGAGTCGAACCACCGAGAGAGTGCCCATGCACCGAGTCCGTCTGATCTACCGTCAATGAGCCGTTTCCTTAGCCATGGTCAAAGCACGCCCCTGCGTCAGTGACCGTGGCACCATTTCAAATCCGTGCATCGGCAAAGTCATGTCAACTGCCTTCGTGCAGGCTCCGAGTTGCCACGCCGAACCCAGACCACGGTCAAGCTGAGTTGCACATAGTCAAGCGAATGATCGACCGGCTCCGAGTGAGTCGTCAGTCCACTTCAGTCGAACCAGTCCGGGCAGTCCAGACGGTTCGAAAAGAATTCCACTTCAGCCGAATCATTCCCGGGCAGTCCGGATGAGGGAGTTCAGTTCAGAACATCGGTTTGAGCGTGAACCGAGAATCTAGTCTTCCGAACCAGTCAGATAAGATCCAGTCAGATTAGAATCCAGTCATAATGTAGTCCAGACTTAGGAATATTTCGAGAACCGTAGTATGCCTCAAAGACAATATATTTTCAAAATCAGCTTGTAAATTGCTAAAATGATTTTCAAAACCCAATGAGAGAACCTAGACAGATCATATAATAAAATTTATGTTTTTATTCTGAGCCTACTACTTAGAATATTTTCGCTCAATATTTTGTAGCTTGAGGAGAGTTGAGCCTCCACTTGCTACCAGCCAGTTAAATATTTTCATTCGCCAGCATCCAGTTGGGGACCCTTGTACTGTGTATTTTATTGATTTTAATTATTTATCCTGTTTGAGGTCTATATGTGATTAAATTGATGGATCGAGACGAATGAGTAATCCCGTCTTGGTCAAGAACTCTAGTTATGACGTAGATGAGTGTGGCGATGCCTAGCCTAAGTCCAGACATGGATGTGTGAGGCACGATGCCCAGCCTAAGTCTCGCGTCCATATGCGTGGGCACAATGCCCTTCTTGGATTTCTGAGGGATGAGACCCCCAGAGTGTACACATGAGTATCGGATTACCGTTAGTCCCCAAGTTAGCCGATTTATTTATATATATGTTGATTTCATGATTTTTCATTAATTGTGATGTTTACTCAGTGCCGGTTCTGAGGGAGCATCGTTGATTCATTTCTGCTCATGCCTCCCCACTAACCATTTATCAGGTGATGGCGTAAAGCGTGGAGCGTGAGCAGAGGAGTGGTGGTGGTCGTAGTGAGGACATTTTCTACTAAACATGTCATGTACTTATTTGAACATGTTTGAATTATCTGTCTTTTGCATATTTATGTTTGTGAACTTATTTGCATTTGCTTCCACACTCAGGCAATATTCAGAATTCAGTTATGTATGCCAAAAATCCAGAGATTTTCATGGCGCCTTATTAGAGTAATGATTTATATCTCGGTTGCATGCATAATAGTAAATGAGACAGAAATGAGTATTCAGTCAGTTGAGTAGCATCCCGCAGTCAGACTGAAGTATTTTTGTAAAAGTTAAATTGAGCTTTCGAAAAATTAAATCAGTGTTTTTCCACTTATAGCGCGAAAAATTTACTCTGATTTTAGTAAGTTTAGGCGGGGTGTTACAACATGTTCTTTCAAATTCAGTACAAAACCTTTGTATGGCTTTTCTTGACCACCGACTCATTATATATGGCTCAGGCAACACAATGATATTCATAGAAATAGAAACTTTTAGTGAATGTCTATATAGTATTCTCATTGTATCAAACAAATGACATGAACACTTTACTTCAATATCATACTTTTGAAAGAACACTTGCCTAACCTTTGAGTTGTCGTTATGAGACCTCAACTTGATTCCAAGCCAACCATTGCCAAAATCATTCTGATCAATAAGTGCAATATTCAAAGACTTCACAAATTCCTACTTGAATAACTTATAGATGGAGAAAGTATATACTTCAGCGATGTCTTCTCATTGCTCCGTAAAATAATACAAACACTCACCTCCTGTGAAAGTTTACGATACACTGCTTCGACCGGGTGATTGACAGCCTTCCTCTGTGCTTCAACCGCCTTTGCCGGATTGGAACGCCACAGATGGGTGTCGCTTGCGTGCTTAATAGACACCATTGGCAAACAACAAAATAACGATATGACTGCGGCAATGGGTGTCTTCAAAATCCTTGTCAACTAGCACATAAATGCCCGAACTAAAGGCCGAAGCTAGGCAATCGAAAACTCCTAACTTCTCGAAGATAGCAAACAGATGAGCGATGCATATCACATGAATCATCGTGCTGAACACGATAACGAGTGACCATATGTCGGTCAAGGCAGAACCGAGCCAAATGCACGCAATGATGAAGAACATGTCGATAAATATCCGCCATTTGCGCGATATTTCCACTCTCACGGTATGGATTCCGCCGATATTGATTCTGTAAGCGAGGTACGGTATGCTTGCCGCCCAGACGAGTATGACCCCCTGGAATAGTGGATATGCGATCACATCACGAATTGATGGGCCACATTTTTTAAACTTTTCATCTGCAAAAGCGTTAGATGTGAATAAAATACCCTCTCCAACAGCCAGCTTAAGAAGGGCTGAAGCAACCCAATGGGGCCAGGCCCAGTTTATGGGGTGTAGTGTTAGCCAGTTGAAAAGAGAGGTATAGAGAGAGAGACGGTGATTTGACCAAGGGTTTGGGAGTGAAGATAGTGAGAGAATGATTGCAGCCAGTCCATAGCCATAGCCATAGCCATAGGGAGACCGTGATTTGACGTTGGGTGAAGACGGGTGAAAAGTGACAGAGATGGTTGGACTTGGTGGTAAAGAGAGGTGAAGAGAGAGGTTAAATGGATGTTGGTGAGTCAGTGAGATAGAGTGAGTCAGTCAGGCAAATAGGAAAAGACAAAAGTGACTATTCTAAAATTTCATTTTGATTTTTTGAATTTCAATTTAATTGAGTTCGTAACATCTTTAATTATAGGGCAACTTCCTCAAAGATCCCCAACTCCCTTTTCAATTTCCTCCTCAGTCCTTAGGTCTTTTTTGCTTCCTTTGAACTCCCCACCCCCTTAATTTTCTTCCTCCTAACTCCCTAGTGTTAAAA